GAATTGTGAATTAAGTAAATTCTCTATTATGTAAAATAGAATTGCCATGTTTTCCCTCTATGATACCCTTAAGTATCCCACTGAATCAGTTGACATTTTTATAAACTCATGTCTAATTTTTCAAATCAGGTCTAATGTCACAGGGATCATTTTTGACTATGAAGAAACCAGAAAAAATGAACAAATGCTGTAATATTTTCCTTAGACAGTTGTCATTTGTTCCCTTTAAAGAACCTGAGCCACGTTTAATGACAGTCATATTATCTGCATTTTCCTAGTTGACACCCAACCTATTGGCATGTACTAATACTAAATGATTCATGCTGAAATTGCAAGCGTTTATCGCTGTGTCTGTAAACTTTCTGAAGTGCCCCTGACATTAAGACTCTTGCTTGAGGCCTCACATGTACTTTTGGCCAGTGTGCTGATTAGATTCTTCTCGTCATCTTGACACAAGCTCAAGTCATCTGGAAAGAGAGAAACTTAATTGAGGGATTACTTCCATCAGATAGACTGCAGGCAATTCTGTGGGGGACATGTCTTTGTTAAGTAATGGATGGGAGAGGGCCCAGCCCACTATGGGAAGGGGATGCCATCAGGTGGTCCTGGGTGGTATGAGAAAGCAGACTGAGCAAGCCATGAGAACAAACCAGTAAGCTGCATTCCTCCATGATCTCTGCCTTGGCTCCCTTCAATGACAGGCTGTGGTTTAGGTATGTAAATCAAACAAACCCTTTCATCCCCAAGTTGTTTTGGGTCAGCAATAGGAAACCAAGCAAAAACAGCCAATTTGGCTGTATTTTTTCACTAGTTGGCCACCCTGCTACTTGCAAGACCTTTTATGTAGGAACCTCACTGTTTCTCAAGTTCCCAGGGACATTGCATTCATTTTAAATTTGTGGGCCTGGGGATTGCCTTTTGGCAGATATGAGCATACTGTTTCCTTATCAACTCTATCGGCTTGGAATATTAGTGCTTAGACACAAAAATATCACAAACTCTATGAAAGCAATGTTTATACCCTCATTTATTAATACAGTCTTCAATTGGGGAGTATCTTCATGCTTCTGTTTAGCCACAGAAGTCTTAATTCTTCCATACATATTAAATCCTGCTAACAGAATACAGGACAGATACCATACCAGCTCACCAGAATTCACCAAACCCCAAGTCCAGATTTGAACTCAGCTAGGACCCATGTTATGTCACAACTTAGTTATACTTTGGGTGGTTTTGATAAACAGAGTTTCTACATGTCAATATATGTGTGTAGGTATATATAGTGCACAGGACATGCATGTATATGCAAGCCTTCTATTTCAGTTTAGAAGCTTGATGACTGTGGTGGCTAATCTTGGTTGTCAACCAACTTGATAGTATCTGAGATCAACTAAAATGCAAGATACTGGGCAATCCTATGATGGATTTTTAAAAAACGATTTATTGTGTGTGTGTGAATGTTTAGTTGCAGGAGTGTATGTGTACCACGTGTACACTTGGTGCACACAGAAGTTAGAAGGCAGCACTGGATATATATATTGGAACTGGATAGTTATGGATAGTTGAAAGCTACCATAGGGTGCTTAAAATGGAATCGAAATCCTCTGCAAGGACAGGTGCACTTAACTTCTGAGCCATCTCTCATGTTCACCCTGTGAGGCAATTTCTTGATTACAATATTCAAAGTTGGAAGAACCACCCTAAGTATAGGATGCAAGAAACTTTGGATTTTTTCCTGTGCTCCTTCATTCTTGCTGGTTGGGTTCATCTCGTTTGTTGCTGGAGCATTCCTTTTCTGGTGTTAGCACCCTCCATTTCTAAAGGTAGACCGACTACCAGCAGCTCTCCAGGAATTGTGTAGGCCTTTAGCACTGGATCGGGATTACTGAATCCAACTCTGGGATTCTAAGCCTCTGCAGTGTGAGACAGAATTTTTTTGACTACCCTGACCATATCATGTGAGTCAGCCGAATAAAGCACCCTTTAATATATATTCATATTATGTTATATATTATAATATATATATGTATGTATTATATTCCATCACTACTGCCCCTTTAGAGAACCCTGACTAACATAATCACTATTTCTTTTTCTTTTTTTTTTTTTTTTTTTTTTTGACAGCCTACTAGAAACTCTGTGTCAGACATGTTTGGTTGTTGCTCTGGGTAGAAGAGTTTGGCAGTTCCAGAGAGATGAATGTGTTATACCTGGGTCCTAACCAGAGTAGAGAAACAAAGCATAATGCAGTCAGTCATTTGTATCTACATGAAACACTTTGTTTCACAGACAGAGCTATTATCTTTTTCCCCCTTTTAAAATTTAAATTAGAAAAATTCTTATTTTATATACCAATCCCAATTCCCTCTCCCTCCCATCCTCCCATGCTCCCCACAGGCCCCCATTCCATCCCTCTTCTGCTCCATAGAAAGGGTGAGGCCTTCCACGGGGGATCATCAGAGTCTGTCACATCATTTGGAGCAGGGCCTAGGCCCTCCCCCATGTGTCTAAGCTGAGAGAGTATCCCTTTATGGGGAATAAACACCCAATGTCCATTCGTACACTAGGGATAAATGCTGTTCCACTACCAGAGGCCCCATAGACTGCCCAGGCCTCCTAACTGACACCCACATTTGGGGGGCCTGGTTCTGTCCTATGCTGGTTTCCTAGCTGTCAGTTGGGTCCATGAGCTCCCCCTTGTTCAGGTCAGCTTTTTCTGTGGGTTTCCCTGTCCTAGTCTTGACCCCTTTGCTCATCACTCCCCCCTCTTTGCAATTGGATCAGAGCTATTTTGTCATTGTTGTACCCTTCAGTTACAAACTGCAGTTTTAAAGGAATAGACTACATATTCTCTTCTATATCTATCCAAACATGAAGTTAAGTAACACGTGTAATTTAAAGTATAACTAGTTCTGGACAGCAGTGCCCTTTACACTTATTTGCACTTTCTTTTGAATTATCTTTAAAGTTACCTTTTACATCCACAGAGGATGTACCCACAAAGGTCTCCTTTTATATAGTCTCCACTAAGGAATTATAGCTCTTATTGAGCAGTAAGGGAGATATGAATTGTTGAAGGAGATGTAGAGGCCTATACTCTTTACATATGTAAAAGAGGGAACTACTTCTTAATTATTATTATTATTGAAATAATGACATAAAATATTACTTACTGAATCATACTTTATTGTTTGACAGATTAAAGGGCCGCAATTTACTTGTTTCCACTAAATGAAAATAGAAGCTATCTGAGTTTAGGATTGTAGAGCATTCTGTCACAACTTGAGAGTCTTCACAGTAATCATCACTGCACTAAAATACTAGGGAGTGGTCAGAACCACTGAGACACGTATATCAGGAAAATTGATTAGAGAAAGGTGTGTGTGTGTGTGTGTGTGTGTGTGTGTGTGTGTGTGTGTGTGTGTGTATAATGTGTGTATCATGTCCAGGAGCCCAAGGTACAAGTTGTAGCCTGTCCTATCAAGTGCAGGGGGAAAACCCAGTTACTGAGTATGTAAAACGGCAAAAAATAGCAGCATGGGATTGAATTTCATGGAGAGAAATACAAGCATTTGTTTAATGTGACAGCAGAAGCATTTGTTTAGTGTATGATTATGTTGACAGCAGAGTCCTGGCATTTCATTTTTAGCACTACCAGACGTGTTTCCTTTTATATGGTCATCAAGGATGGAGTCCCAGAAAGAGACAAACAGTGGGAGAGACTGTCAGATACAAAGTTGTCATTAAACATCTACAGGGAGGGAAAGCGACTCAGACAAAATCTAACAGCTGAGTTCTTTACATACAGAGATTTATGGAGAAACTTGAACAGAACATGAAAAGGTGCAAGATACATTAGTAATCCCCATTGTATGGGACTTTTACTGCCCTGGCAAGATTCCAGAGACTATTTAGCCATAGTTGTCAATTATTTTGCTTTCTCTTCAGCCTGGTGTTTGATCTGGAATCCCTCTGGAACTAAGAGTAAAAGGGAAACATTTCAGAAATTTAGGAAGTTTTAGTTGGCAATCGAGTTTTACTCTTCGCCTACACTGTGTGGGGTTACCCTTGGTCTTAGAAGCTAGGGGACGGTTGCTCTTTATTTGAGAGTCAACAAGAAACCCGGTCTTGGACCTATTTGGCTGCTGTCCTGAGTAGCCGAGTTTGGCAGCCCTAGGGAGATGAATTTCTTAAGCCTGGGACCCGCCCAGAGCTGAGAAGCACCACTCTGGCAGCGGGTACTCTGTTGCTATGAAACAAAGACTAGGAAGGTGAATGAGGCAGGAAGTCCCGCCTTTTAGCCCCAGTTGGCTTAGACTCCCGCTCGGGGCGCTCACGCCCACCTGCGCACCCCTCATTGGTGAGCTCCCGGGAGGCTTGCCGCTTCTCTCCAGGTCCTTTCCTTGTTCCACTTTTGGTTCAAGGCTGCCCTAGGCCCATTTCCCCACGAGTTCTTCTCCAAGTGGGATGCGGGCGAGCGGGCCTTCCTCTGGGGCCATTGTGTACCGTAGAGGACGTGGACTTGGGGGTAGCGCGGGAGGCGAGTCTCGTCCCACCCATTGGCTCCGCCCGCTGTCTGGCAGCGACCAGGCTCTCAGGATTGGCCCGGCCGCCTGAGGCCCCGCCCTAGCCCCGCCCCGCGCCCTGGTCTCCGGGGATGGCTCAGGGGTGGGGTGGCCAGTGAGTGGTCTCCTCCTCCGGCGGGCGCTGCGGCGGCCTCCCGAGAGTGGCGCGGGACGGCCGGGCGGGCGTGGAGCTGTCTGCACGGTAATTGCCGCGTCCCCGTGTCCCGGTGTCCTGAGATCTCGGTGGCTTCTTCTCCGGAGCGCTCTCTCTTAGGGCGATTCCACAGAGTCCCCGCCCGAGCCACCCCGGCCAGGGCAGCGCGCGCGCGAGTGTGTAGTGGGACCCGCGGTCACGCGTGGCTTAGGAGGGCCGGGGTGACCTGAGGAGAGGAGGGAGCCGGGCTCCCCGAGCTTGGGCGCTGCTTGCTGGCCCGGGAGCTCTGAAGCTGGGCGCGGGCCATCAGGGAGAGGGGACAGCCCTGGCTTCCAGCTGCTGTCGCCACTGCGGGCCTGAGCCAAGTGGGGATTTAAAGAGCAGTCCCCGCCTGGCCGGAGGCCCGGGAGGCAGCGGACTGAGACTGGTCGCAGCTGGTGGGAGGTGCGTGCGACTGGAGCGGGATCGGGCTGGCTGTGGGACTCCGGGGGCAGCTAGGATACTTTATCCCCGCTGCATTCCTGGTCCCTTTCCCAGATCCTCGAGTGGCGGACGAGAGGGGCCCGGGCCGGGAAGGGACACGGGCGTCCCGAAACAAAGCTTTGGATCTTCCTATCCCGGGTAGGCAGACTTGGGGCCACCCGAGAAGTGAACTCCTCTGTGCGTGCCCGCCCTTGCCGGGTTCTCACCGCTTTTTAAGAAAGGGTTGTTTGTTGGTTCGTTTATTTGGCTCTAGGGAAAAACTACTCACCGCAACGCTTTAAAGAACTACTTGTGTGTCCGTGGCTGCTGGTTTTGCCGTGGGGGAAATCCAAGTCCTCCGCCTTTGTTGACAACAGACGTGCCCCTTCTGCTTGTGCGGAGCACTTTGCATTTATGTAATAACTTGGCGAAATCTAACAGCGTGAAGGAGGCTTCTTAGTGAAGCTCCTAACATGAATTCAGGGGTTGCAGCCCTGGTTATTTTGAATCTAGATTACAGCAGAAGGGGGAGGCCTTCTGTTAAAAGTTGTTTTGTTGGTGGTGGCTAGCTGTAGCTGTGTGGAATGCTAGGAGGAGATGCATCCTTAACTTCTACTTTTGTGAAAGCAAGCCTAGCGTTACAGTTCCTAACTTGGAGAACGCTGTTACACCGGGTTACTAAAAAGTTGAATATGGGACCGTCCGTTTTGTCTCATGGTGGCAGAGAATATTATTAGTGGGTATGAGTGAACCTCTTGGGTTCAATTTCCTGTTGGGAAAATACTTTTATATCCAGCTAACTTTTCTTTTTAAAAATCTACCTTACTAAAAGGACTAGGATTCCAGATGGCAAATTCTATGAATGGCAGAAATCCTGGTGGTCGAGGAGGAAACCCCCGCAAAGGTCGAATTTTGGGGATTATTGATGCTATTCAGGATGCAGTTGGACCCCCCAAGCAAGCTGCAGCTGATCGCAGGACTGTGGAGAAGACTTGGAAGCTCATGGACAAAGTGGTGAGTTCACTGCGTGCACATGGCTATCTTTACTCTGAGGCAGTTACTTCACATCCCTTTATACATATGGTTAAGAACCGTCATTGTGGCAGGTCTCTTTGGATTTGTGTTGGCCATTTTTCTCCAACTCTGTGTTTGGAAGAGTTAGATTCAAAGCAAAGACTTCTTTTTCTTTTAACGTTTTGTCTTGCTTCTCAAGGTCCAGAGTTCCTGGATATTATTACTCAGATATCCAGAGTTTTTACCATTGGTTACTTTGGGTGGGCATATGGCTAAAAGCAGTAAGTGAACAAAAGTCTCAGAGGGAGCACATTAGGACAGCCACATGTGTGATGTTGAAGCATCCACTGGGGAAAGAACCAGTGCTTTGCGGAGGAAGAAGTGTTTAGGAGTTTCCATTTTTCTGTGTCAACTCATCATCATTAAAAAAAGGCTTTTTTCTCTCTCTCTTTACTGTTCATGGCATCATCACTCTGATTTCTTGCATCTACTATTCCATTTTGAAGCAGGGAATCTTTTTGGGGTGTGCATTGTTTATTGTGAAAGGAAAATGTGTGTTGGAGGTTGTGTGCGGCTGAGAGTGTCAGAGACATCTGTGGTTTCTGCTTGTTGCTTTTAGATGAACTCTAGTTTCATAAGATGAAACCAAACTGGATGTTGGTTCTCAGAAATGTCCAGTTGAAATGGCAGTGTGGGCACCTCACAGGGCCCTTACTGTAAAGCTAGCTGTCTAAGGAGGCTTGCAAGACAAATGTGATAGCTTACGTCTTTGTACAAATTCATACTTTATGAATTTGAAGCAGTTCGACTATGTTGCATTTTAGACAGTTAAAATATGCTCCTTATTAAGTAAGGATGAGCCAAAGCTTGTTTGAAATCATAGGGTGGCATTTACCTTTGTTTTGGTTTGCTGCTAAAGACAAAATTGGCTAAAAACAAAACAAAACAAAACAAAAAACCCCATGGAATAGTAGAAACAATCCTGGGAGGTGACACTATTAGCTTTATTTTCATGTATCCTTATGGAGGCTCTGGATAAGGCAACTAAAGCATGGGCCTGTCATTGGATGGCCACTGGTATCAAATGGAACACCAGAATCTTTTAACCAGGTGGATAGCCTTAGTTTGGGACTTCCCTGTGACCTATTTAAGCCTCTGCCAATTTTTTTCAAATTGTTATATTAAAGTGCTCCAGACAGAATGATGTCATGATGTCAGAACATTGCAACTTTCTGCTTGGGGTCAGGCTTTGGTTTTAGCCTTGGACACTTAAGAATGAAAAATATGCAGCTGGAAAAACTACATGTATTTGGCAAGCACAATGTGAGCCATCTCCACTTTTCTATAGAGTACGCATTTGAAGGTCATCCTTATTGCTTGAGTCATTAGTTAGTGGTAGGAGAAGAAATTCATGGTTTGTTCCAGTTCTGTCTGTTACATAAGTAGGCAACAAACGGATCAGATTTCACTGAAGAGATAGTCCTTGTTCACATCAGTCCTCGAAATGGTCTGTATTTATATATTTGTAATTGAGGGCTAGGATGTAAAATCAAAAAGATTTATTAAGGAAGTGGTGAGCCATAGTTATTGTCATGTCAGTGAGATAGTAAAAAAAAAAAAGTGGTATTCATAATTTTGTTCTATGACTGGTTGTTTATCTACACAGTAACTGCTTCTAATTACTTCACCATGAATTATAGTCAATGGATGGTTATTTGACAGTTAAACACCTACCAGTGTTTATTTTATTAATCCTTTTGTGAGTTTAAACTTAGCTTGGACAGTTGAGTATGACACACAGGGAACTTTCTTACCCTAAGCCTCTACTTAGTGGGATGTGGGTGCCCATGTTGGCAAAAGTGCGGTAATCTGACTTTCCCTATTCATCTTAATTATTTCTCAAAGATGACAATGTGAATGCATTTGTGGGCTTTGGAGAAAACACACATCCTTTGTCATAATAGTTTGGTGTGTTAATTTCTACTCTTGTCACACAGTAAAAGAAAGGCACTGAAAATTACTAATCCTAATTGGCAAAATGGTATTGAAGGTTGTAGTATAGAAAGAAGTCTCCAACATGGGTTGGTCTTCTCAAGTTTTGACAGTGATGAAAGAAATGGCTCATAATATCAACATTATCTGACTATTTTTCAGGGACTTTATTACTAGTACAAAAATATTATCATTTGAGATATCACTCAGCTTTAGAAAGGTAGCTACAGTAGTATGAGTTTACTTTGTGACCAGCAGAACAGATTCTTTCATGTCTAGTAGCTTGTTAAGCAAAAGTCAGGTGTAAGTATGTTTTCTTTGCAAAGCCTCTTCCCTTGGGGAGGTCTTCAAAATGCTATTTGCAGGTAACTACTAAGCAACATAACTCATTTTAGAGGAGACAGTGAATTAGATTTGGGCTGGACAGTACATAACACGTAAGTTTCATAATTCCTTTCTCTCTAGAACTTAAGATACTCACTAAGAATTCAATTGCAACTAATTGTTCTATTTTCCCAGGGCAGGCTTTCTTTCCAAGGTCACCAAGAATAAGAGAAAGCAATTGCTCCTTGTGTTCTTTGTAAGATGTGTAATGTTTTGTAATCAGTAACACAGAGTTCACATAGTGCATGCACTGAGAAAATGACCAACGGTTGATCCCAAGGCATCCCATTTTCACAGTTTTCTGGTCTTAGCTTTTCCTGTGAGTCTAAGAGACTGACCCTAAACCACCTGATTAGTGGTGTCTCATTGATAAAACTGACAGAACTATTCTTGAGTACACACATAGGTTTAAATACATACAATCAAATATGGAATTTGTTCCAAAATTGTTACAGGCATGGCTTCCTAAACACTTGTTGAGGTTCTATTGTGTGTTAGTAAGTGGTTACTACTGGGGGACACTAGGTAAGACATAACTCTATCCTTAGTCTATAAATCAGGAGGGCAGTATTAAGCTGGACATATGAGTTGGTAATGCCATGGGGTATGAAAAGGACTGGAGTATAGACTCAAAAGAGAGTGGAGGCAGAATAGAGGATACCTACTTCATTCTGGACACTCGTTTTCTGGTTTCTGGATTCTAGCTTTTAGGAAGAGCATTATTGTGCTCCTGTTGGAAATGCTGAAGTGAGGGTAAGGAAATGGTTGCTAATCTGTGTGGTTGGAGTCATAATTTATTAATGTGAGGTTCCTGAGTGTGGTTTGCACGGAGTCTGAGCCAGGTGATGGAAAACAGAAGAAACCATTTTCCTTCTAATAGATGCTAAATGCCCTGAGTGTACATGGATGCTCAGGAAATTAGAAAATAATTAATTGATGCTAAAGAGCAAAGCAAGCTGAGTACCTGCCTATGCCTTTGCCTCTCCATTTATTTGAATTTACATTGGCACGTAAGTGTTAAAAGCACTTAAAAAGTGATGCTGCCAAGTAGCATGTTCCTGCCTTTTACCCATGTCACATCACTTAGACTTGAAATAATTCATTCTCTCTGTGTGTAATTTCACCAGAATGAACTTTGAAGTTTGTCAATCATTGATGCATAGGTTATACATCTAAGTATGTTTTAACGTAATAGTTCTATAGTGTTACTTTTTAAAATTTAAATTCCTGATACATCTGAAAAAGATTCTACAAGCTTTAACATACAGTTCCCCTTCCCCGAGTGGTACTGGGTGTTTTTGCCTTATTTTTTTAATTTACTTTTTTCTTTTGGACAAGAGTACATTAAGTTGCCTAAATTTTGAATTTACTCTTATAGCCCAGACAGGCTTTGAAATTATGGGCCTCCTGCCTCAGCCTTCAGAGTATCTGGGATCACACTACTTCTGGTCTGTATTTTAGGCCAGAATGTTTTGGATGCAAATTCTGTCTGTTGGTTTCCCAAGACCCCAATAAATAATATTGATTTGTATTATGCGTGTGTTTCATTTTTTTTTCTTAAAGTCAGTCATTAGCAGAACCCTGGGCCCTATTAAATCTTGATTGGGTATAATAACACACAACCTGTTGGGACAGTTTTGCTTATCACTGAATTGGATTTTGAATTTGTGCTGACATAATTGGCATGATTCTAAAGTTTACTACTAGTGACACCTAGGAAAAACTTTATTTGCCAAAGTGAAAGTTTTCAAGGGAATCTGCCAAGAGTTAACTTGTCATATCCCTGTGATAGAAAACAGGCATATAATGGAAGCTTTGATTGTTTTTTTTAACTCTTAAAAATATTTTAACACTTAGATTTTCCTTTCTTTCAAACGTTGTTTTATGTTTTGTCAGTTTCCTTACTGATTCCCCCCCACCCCCAAATCCTAGGTATGGTCAGATACCATCAATTGCATCACACAATATATTAAATAAGTGCTATAATATCGTGTAAGTACTGTATCTAGTATGTGATGGAGGTGACTGCTTCTTGCTGGGGGCAGGAAGTTGATGAAGGCTACTTGTCCAAGTGTTCTAGAAGATAGTTTGAACTTGGGGGGTGGTGGAAGGTATTTTTTTATGGGAAGGAATAAAGGCAGATTGTTGAGTAAGAGAGAGTAGAGCAGAAAAGGATGGTAGAAACCTCAAATATCGTCAAAGAATTTGGATTCAGTTTATTTCCTTGGCGTATAATTGCTGAACACTTCTGATAGGGGAGATAAAAACCAAGGCTAGTCTTCCATATATTACTCTACTAACTCTGAAGGTTGGGGTAATGCTAAAGAACAGTGGGGAAAGGGAGAATTAAAACAACGTGGTGAGAAATAATAAAGAACTTAGCTAGAGAATTGCTGGGGCGGGGGGGGGGTTAGCAAGCATGCTGCAGTAGTGGAAGGCATTTGGAAGAAAAGCTGTTGTTCTCTGAGAACTTTGAGGGTTGGAGAATGAAAGAGAAGGTGCAGTGAAAGTGAGTCTTGAGGTTTTCAGCCTAGTTGACTCTGAAGGCAGTGGAGCCCCAAATGAGATGGGGCACAGGAAGGGAAAGGCCAAGCTTGAGGGTTGCTGTGTCTGTTTTGTGTTTT